CTGCATCTGTTAGATTACTTGACTCCATTATATCTGGATCTCTGTTCTGTTCTATCATATGGTTTCTGCTTCTTTGTCTTCCCATTTTGGCTGCCTTTCCACGTCTGTTTCTATGTACGAAGCAAAGTTCCTAAGTCTCCCAGTCTTATTAGTGCGGATTTGTGAAGTAGGTGTCCAGTGACACTGTCCTGAGAGGGGTTCAGTTGCAGGTTAAATTTAGCCCCAGCCTCTGCCCCTCGGGGCTACCTATTAAGATTCAGCAAGCAATCCACAGCTGCTGTGCTTATAGTTGCCTCAAAAGGCCACACCAGAAACCAAGGCTAGCTGCCTCCACCAGTATGAGTCTCAGCAAGGAGCACCTGACTCTCCGAGGACACACCTGGATGTGGCTTGGGTGGGGCCTGAGTTGGGGTAGGCAGGTTTTCAGGAAATCCTCTGAGCAGAGCGACCTCTGTTATCCAGTTTGATGTTGTCACAGCTATGGCAGTGCTGTGTCCAGCACACTGGTAGGGGGAAGGGCTCAACAAGGAATAATGGATATCACTGGCACTTCTGTACTGAGCGAGTCTCGCCTTAGCCCTCACTCCGACAATGTCTCCCCATAAGTCCCTGGTGCCCCCTGTGCACAGCTGAATTGTCACTGGTGCTCAGAGCGAGTAGGTCCGTCACCATGAAAATCCGCTCGCAGATGTGGCCTCTTTAAGAGGCTTCTTCCTCTGCCACAGGCTCGGTCTCACTCAGCTGCTCGGGACTGGGCAGCCCCATGTCCTTGCCCCGTGCTACTTTCTGCTGTTTGCAGGGTGCTTTCTTAGATTTCTCTGTAGTTGTATGGCTTGTTTATCTAGATCCCAGGTGATTTTTCCTTGCTGCTGCTCTTTGTTTCCATCACAACTTTGATTTGGTTGCCAGAGGAATTAACAGAGCCCCTATCATCTACACCATTTTTTTTCTCCGTGTGTCTCCCCTTCTTTTAAGGGCACCAGTCATTAGATTTAGGGTCTACCCTAAATTCATGATGATCTCATCTCAGGATCTTTAATCACATCTGCAAAGTCCTTTGTTCCAAATAAGGTCACATTCTGAGGTTCTGAGTGGACAAGAAGTTGTGGGGAGCTACCGTTCAACCCATTACATTGTGGGATACAAATAAAGCATCAAAGGCAATTTTTAAAATCATTCTGGAGGTCCCATGAAGACTGAAAGTGAAGCCCAGAGGCCAGGAGCCTGGAGAGGAGGCTATCATTGGAGTTCGGGTCTGGGTTTGGACAGCAGCAGCTGGGAGGACAGAGGGCAGGGTGAGGGAGAGGCTCTGAAGGCCATACCAGTAAGACTGCAGGGCTTAATTGGTTGTGGAAGTCAAGTAGAGCCAGCTGCCTACTTTCTGGCTTGGATGATGGAATTACTTATCCAGAAGAGAATGACAGGAGAAGAACTTTTGAGAGGGCATCTGCTCGAGCCATGAGAAAACTCTCCACAAGCTGATGCATAGCCTCCAATAGTGACCAATATATGCTCTCTGAAGGAGGAGTCCTAAGACTAAAGAATTCAGTGGAAAAGGTGTTCATGGTTTCCTATTAATGCCAAGGATAATTTTCTATTTATAATAGTCATACGTGTCTAACTGCTCCACTTATCAGATGAAGAAACTGAAACCTAGCATATACCATTTAGAGTGCATGATTTTATCCATTCTGCTTAGTTTAACCAGACTGTAAACTTTTGTAAATTGTAAGGGAAAAAATATACCCCTTGTTCAACCTCACTGTGATAACTGAAATGCAAATTAAAACTACACTGAGATAGGGGTCTAAAGAGATGGAGCAGAGCTGGAGAGAGGAAAGGTTTGGGGGGCCTGAGCTTAGTCTGTGGGAGTGCAATCTAATGGAGTTCAGAGATGGTGGCGGTGGCTGCGGAGCCATCAGGCCAGGCCCTGCCCCACAATGTCATTTGTTCCCTTTCACCCCTTTCGCTCCCCAGCTCTAGACTCCAGGCCCTGTCCCCTGAGCTCTGCCCTTGGATGGATATCCTACCACCCAGAGCCTGCATGTGCCATGGAATACACCAAGACCATGCTGGTAGGTCCTGGGGCTCCTGGGCTGGGATCCTAGGACACCCCTCCTCCCTTAGGACCTGTTGTCCCGGTCCTCATCTTTCCTCTGGATGAAGTATTCAGGATGGTCCAACAGAATGGACTCCAGCAGCTGCTGACCCTCTATAACCCCACAGGAGCTACATTTTATGTCTGAATTCTGTGCATAGCATCTGATGGTTACAATGTTTGACGCAGAAGGATATGTTACCGTTACGTCTTAGTCCTGTGTTGACATTGTGATCGCCACATGGCCTCCATTCCCAGCCACTATAATGTCCAGGACTCATTTTACATTGAGC